ATTTCAGAAGTTCTCCATATAAATAATTAAGAAAAATGTTTATAATACAAAACAGTGGGTGTTGGGGATCCATTGAATAGGAAATTTGCATCTTAGATCATTCCAGCTTCAGCATGGAAGATGAAAGATGAATTCAAGAGGTACATGACTAAAGGCTGGATGATGAAAAGGCCAGTATAAACAGACAAAGTAAAAGACGACGAGAACATGAACATAGCCCTGGCTGGTGTGGCTCAGTGGATTGAGTGCTGCCCTGCGAACTCAAAGATCTCCAGTTTGATTCCCAGTCAGGGCACATGCCTGGGTTTCAGGCCAGGTCTCCAGTTGAGTGCATGAGAGAGGCAACCACACATTGATGTTTCTTTCCCTCTCTCCCTCCCTCCCTTCCCCTCTCTCTAAAAATAAATAAAATCTTTAAAAAAAAGAAATAAAACTTGAACACAGGCAGTAGTAATAAGCACTGAAGGAAGAGGGCAGATTTTATTTAAAACTTGAAAAGTAAAAGAGGCAAAATTTGGTAATGATGCTGGTTATTCTCCACTTGCCCCACAGAACCACTTTCTACTTTGTTTTGCCCTGCTCTGTGCCCTGGAGGGTGGCTGACTCTACAGACTGTATCAGCTTTAGTCTTCCCATAGGGTTCTGTTAATAGGCATCAGTAAAAGAGTGGAGGGGAGGGCGGGGGAAAGCCACAGGATTCTCTCCTCTGCTTAAGGCCACACATCCATTTAGGCCGCCCCTCTTCCATAGCTACAACTCTTTCCAGGTTCAGGTTGTACAGTCCTCTCCTTATGCTAGTCTCTGGACACCTCACAAACCTCACTGAATGAATCCCTTCATTGCTCTCACCTCCTTTGGTTAATAGTCCTTTGGTTGAACTCTCCCGAATTCATCCCTTTGAGCCTTTTTCCTGCAGGGACCCTGACTGGTAAGTAGTAAACAACGGGGAATGGGGAGAGAGTACAAAGAGATGAGGTGACTCCTGGGTTTAGATTCTTTGCTTCCTTTTGGAGTTTAGCATTTTCCTGAATGCTTTGTTAGTTCATGCTCTGTTCAGATTCCTTGGAATCCACTCTCGTCACCAACACTTTGGTTGACATTTCCAAGCAGGAGACTGAGGCAGGTTCTCAAGAACCAAGCATGGCACCTGTTACAGAATTAGCAATAAATGAATTTTCTCTCACATTTTAAAAAAGACTGTATTTATTTATTGTTAGAGAGGGGAGGGGAGGGTGAAAGAGAGGGAAACATCCATCTGTGGCTGCCTCTCACACAGCTCCCCACCTGGGACCCCAGGCATGTGTCCTGGACTGGGACTTGAACCTGCGACCCTTTGGGTCCATCCTTTGGTTCAAAGGCTGGCACTCAATCCACTGAGCCACACCAGCCAGAATTCTCTCGCACTGTTTTGAACTCTGTTGTCACATTATTATAAGCCCTTGTATACTCAGATTCTGAACTCAGCATTGGTCTGGCCATTACTAGAGTTTTATATTTAACTTTGGTTCTAGATTTTGAAATGTACATGGAACCATTAGAAAAGGTCTATTATAAAACAACAAAAATCTTAATTGTAGTAAAATTAAAAGTATTGAGGAAACAGAATGTTTAGCAGTGTGAATGCATGTATACAAATGTCAATGCCCAAGCAGTTGGACCATGGCTACAGTATGTCATTGTTCCAGTATAATTTTTTTTCTCCAAGTAATTCAATATGCTGGTACATTCTATATATCATATAACAATCACTTCAGCTCAAAATAATTTAATTGAGAGAATCTTCACAATTTTTGTTAAACCACAAACAAATTACATTTTGACTCCCTACATTGCCTTTATGCCTGGTACTACATACTCTAAGTACTTCAAATTTCCTAACAGACCCTGTAGAAGCCTGCCCCATACCCCACATCCCTAGCATGGACATTAGACTCCTCCAGGCCAATTAAATCACCCCCTTTGGGTACGAGGGCCAGGCAGTGATACTTAAAAGTTCTTCAAATTATCCTAAAAATGCTTGGAATTGAGAAGCAGGCTCCAAACCACAAGATAAAACAAACAGGATCTCACAGGAAGATAGGAATCTTCACAGGAGGTGTAAACATAGGATACCTTAAGTCCAGCAAGCTGTTTATCCCTTGTTAATGAACTTCCAGTGAGATTTCCCCCACTGCTAACCGTCAGCTTCTGCACATTGGAAAGTTGACTGAGCCCTTCCATTGGTTTTGCTTCCTTGTTTGGTGTGTGTGGTTTGTTGACAAGCTGCCCAGAACGTGGTGAAAGACAACCACAATGAAACCTGCCTCGAGTCAGCAGTGGTTTTCCACACCAGTGAGGTTTACCTTAGAACCCTAGAAGAGGGTGAAAAGAATACATATATGACGGCATCAAACACACTCTCAAAGGTAAAGCTAGCAGTTTGGGGTGTGGAGGGGGGAAGAGCTATTGTGAGCAAAGGAGTGATGCCTTCAATATTTTTAAACAAAACTTTGGCTAAAGATCAGGAAGTCAAATCTGCATTCTGCAATGTTTTGCATCCTACTTCAGGTTTCTTTGTAATACCCAAAAAGAAGTGAAAGGTAATATATTAAGTACAGTTAACCTTCAATAAATATAATCTCGAGTAAATTCTAAGTCTCAGTTAGGAAGGAGGCATTAAAGGAAAATAGTAATTAAACTATATTTTCTATTCCAGATTTCTTAAGGTGACCAGATGCTCCATATTGTGTCAGTTCCGACAGTATCTAAGATAGAAACTCCATAGAAATGCAAAACACCTGTGATGTCTGTATTTGATTCAGTCGCATTTTAACCAGTGACATGTACTCGCTCACAAAGTTATCTGAAGTGTTTCACAAGGGACAGCCAGCACCCCTTGCACTGTTTCAGCAGCAGGCACTGCCCACAGGTTGATACATAGGTGATGACGAAACAACTGAGGCTGACTTCTTTCATTCCTTCTCTGCGCTCTCTCCTCTTCCTGCCACCTCCTTCCTCCCTCTCGGCCTATATACACTTGGTAGTAACAATACGTGCACTTTGAGCGTCGTGCAGCCTAGGTGTTTTAGATATTTGGGTTATCTCAACAAACCAAACAGAGCCAAGAACAAAACAAAGCAAGACAAGATAAAATAAACCTTGCCCCTGTGGGAAAGTATGCCCTGCGGCATAACACGATCTTTGAAGTGAAGTAATTCGGACGAAGAGCGACTCCCAGAGGCAACTAGAACAATGGAGCCTAAATGCTTCCTCACCAAACCCAACTCTTTGGAAAGACTGGGAGGTCTCCTTCTGCTTCCTGAAGGGAGAGTCCAGCCTACTACTCTAGACGTTTACGGGATATGAGTTGCACACACTTGTGAAAAAATGCCTAAATGTGTTCGTGACCTACCTTTTATTTTAATAATCCAGGTAAGTGTTAAGTGACTCTGGATAATAGTAACAATGCATGGCATACTACAGATGCGTATTTTATATGGAATGGTTACAGCACGCTTAAGGGATTAGCCAAAGCACCTGTATGCATGACCCACAGACACAGACAACAGTGTGGCGATGGCCAGCGGGAAGTCGGGGAGAGGCGCCTGGGTGGAGGTGGGCCAAGGGTGGGAAACGGGGACATCCGTAACAATGTCAACAATAAAGACAAAGTTTGATGAAAAAACAAAGTAGGAAACGTGACTTTGTTAGGCCTTTGTACAAATGACTCTTCCGGAAAGGTTCTTGAATGGGCCAGAAAGGACCAGGTGTGGACTAGAACATACTTTTTTTTTTTTTTTAAATAAGTCCAGTGGCCTTTTCGTGTTTTACTATATTCTGCTGGGACTCGAGACCTTACTTTTTCAGTCGTGCTAGGACTATAACACAGTTAAATCTTAAGTTGCTTCGTAGAGAAAGTGGTCACTGAAGATGCGAGAGAAGTAAGGACCTGAAGCGGTTGGGAATGTCCACCTGCAAAACCTAGGGGTGGGGGGTGGGTCTTCCCATGAAAATTTAAAAACACATTTGACTCCCTCCTTTGATCTGGACTTCACCAGATGCGAAGTTAAAAAATGGTTAAGAGTAGAACCTGCCTTTGGGGACCACAACCTAGCAGTGATCTGACCTCCGAAGAGCTGAGGAGGACTTACATGGATCGGTAGGTAGGGTCCAGAGGAAGGGCGACTCACATAATCAGATACAGAAGAGAAGGTGAAAAGTCCTGCAGACGACGGCCTTAAGGGGCCCCCAGTTTTAGTCTGACATATAAACCGCTTTTTTGTTTCTTGTTAAGGAAAATATTCACCATGAACATGTTTGAAACCAGGAACGAAATTGGCTTTTCAAGCTATGTTTCCTCCGTCCGTTCCCCTCTGAGGTTTAGAATCTATCTCGTAGGGGCCACACCTTGGAAAACCTTTTTCTATGGGTTGAACCCTAAGTCCGTTTTAAAACCACCGAACAGGCAGTCGGGAGACTCGGGTTCGAACCGTGTCTGTGGCACTAAATGGTTCTGCGATCTCGGTCAAGTACATCTCAGGATGCCCCCCTCTCTGTCCTTAAGACGAATACGAGGCAAGGGCCCACCTTACAGGGTTTCGTGAGGGCGACAAAATAATGCCCGCGAAAGCATTCCCTCCACCACACCTAAGGTGCTCCCGTTATCTCCGGAGTTCTTCCCAGTCTTGCCATTTTGAGACTTGATGCATCACCGACCAAAGGCCTGAACCATCACCACAAATGCCTGACGGTCTTTCCCCTTTCCCACCCGCCACACAGTCCCGAAGGCCAGGGAAGGGTGAGAGGACCCTCCGCTTCCACTCAGGAAAAAGGGCGCGAAACTGCAGCGCACCTTCACGGACCGCCCCCTAAGCGCACGCGCAGTGGCCGCCCCTGGCGCGTGCCTGCCTACGGAAGGGGGCGGGTCGCGACGTCGAGCGCGCAGACGTTTGCGTAGCGTGCACCGCCCACCAGTGTCTGTAATTACGGACTCCGTGCGTCGCGGTCGGTGGAGCCCGCCGGTCGGAGGGGGCGGGGCTTCCTCCTGGCGGAGTTGGGCGCGCTCCTTCGCTGCGGAGGGATGTCTTCTCTGTTGCTTCTGGCGGTGTAGTTAGTCGCATGGGCGTGTAGCCGTCGTAGTAGTTTTCTTGTTCCGTTTACCAAAACATCTGCCCTTCTGTTACACTAGCGCAGTGCTTAGGGTGGTGCCTGTCATGTCGAACTCGCGGCCCAGGCCCCGCCGGGCCGCCAGGAGTGCCGCGGGGGGAGCCGGGCGGGAAGAGCTGGTGTCGCGGTCCCTGCAGAGCGCGGAGCACTGCATGCGTGCCCAAGACTTCGGCACCGCCTATGCCCACTACCTGCTCGTGCTCAGCCTGTCGCCGGAGCTGAAAGAAGACGTGAAGGTGAGGAGAGCCCCTCTTTCACTTGCTGGCAGACCCTCTGTTCTCGTAAAAGTAAATAAATGCATAAGTAAATTGGGAGAAGGGGCTAAGTTGGGGGGCTGGAGGTGCTATTAATATTTACGGTTCAACCTTGACTCCTTTTGTTCGCCCCACAGCCACTGCGTTAGAAAATCCTCTCTGCTTCACCGTGAAAATGTATCCCGAATCTTAGCACTTCTCCCCACCTTCTCCTTTGCTACCCTGGTTTTAGCCCCTGCTGACCGTTGGAATAGGCTAGCAGCTAGGCTTTCTCCCGCGGTCTGTCTCAGTAAGGTTAGTGAGAGCTTTAAACAAAAGTCAGATGACATCATTTCTCTGTTTCAAAACTTCCTACTCAGTCAAATTTCAAAGGCCATATTGCACGTGAGGCCTCAGGTGATCATCTCCCACTTTCTAAATTGAATTCCAGCTGTATTCGCCTTGCCCCTACTGTATGCAGAAGCAGTGTTGTGGGTTTCTGTAGTGGAATAAACTTTGGAATTAGCCTGAAATATTCATTTGATGATGCATTCCTTAGGTTCAATTATTGGATTATCTGTGATAGTTGTTATGTTAAAATGCTGTACACCTTTTTCAAGTTATTTTAGAATCTCATTTTGCAAAAATAATTCAACTATGGATTCAATTTTCAACCTCAAGCTATTTTATTTTACTCAGGATCTCTCAAGCTCAGGGCTGCTGAGCTTTTGGATGGGATAATTCTTTGTTGTGGAGTTGGTCCTTGCACTGCCGCAGGTTTAGCAACATCCCTGACCTCCATTCAGTCGCTATCAGTAGCCTTTAGACATTTGCAGTTCACAAAAGTTTAATGTGAATTTCAGGACCAGCTGGTTTAAAGAAGGTGGTGTTATGTTTTAGATACAGTTTGCTTTTCTAGGCAGCAGTAGAATAATGGATCATTTCAAATGCTTTTTCCCTATTCCTTGTTCCTTAGTGTCCTCTTGTAAAACAGGGATAATACCTTTTTTACAGATACTTAATGTGTATTAAAAGTATATCTAAAATTTGTATTTCAATACCTGGTATTCAGTAACTAGCTCTGTTTTCTGCAGAATAAAGTCCATATTTCTTGTCCTAGGCCTTTGCAAAATATCCATCTCTTTGGTCTTATTTCCTTTTACTCCCTCTACTCCCCATACCCACACTTCAGCCACACCAGCCTGCTTACTGATTCTCTGTTGACCAATTCCATATAACCTGTTCTTCCCCCCCCATCCCTATAATCTTCCTTATTCTTGACTCTCTAGTAAACTTTATTAGAATTCAGTTTTTTCAGGTATTAACTCTTCTGTGGAAGATATGTGAACATGATGTGAAATGTATTCAGGAGAAAGCTGGAATGACCAAAGCCTTTCTCTCTCCGCTGTGTGGCAGTGCAGAGAATGTTCGAGAATGTCTGGAGGGAGATGCAGGTGGAGAGGGAGTGACAGTGGGAGGTGGCTGCTGTAGTCCAGCAAGTGGTTCGAAGGGTCAGATTCTCTTGCAACACTGGGGAAGGAGAGGAGGTGACAGATTTAAGGAAATTGAGAGAGAAGAGCCTGGGTTTGAAACTAATTGTATTGGAGTTAAGGTGGCAGGGTGACTTCATGGCTTGCAACCAGGTGGTACCTTAACCTTATATCCTGTGCCAGAGGAATATGATAGGTTCATCTAGAATATTTTGTATTCTTTCAAAATCATATGCTAAAATTTTCTTCACAGAGCCTTAGTGAGGGCAGGAACAGAATTTATGTTCATACTCTTCTCTGCACACTGATTGTTCAGGATACATTTGAGTTGAGCTGAATTTGAGATAACAGGGAGAAATACCTGGTAGAGAAGGTATTGCTGATGGGAAGTTGTATTATGAGTCTGAGATTCAGAAGAGGGTCATGGTTGGAGATGTATTGAGTAGATGTGGCATCCATCAATACATAGGCGATAGTCAATGCACTTGGAATGGATGAGAAAAGAGAAGACCTAGGATGAACTCCCAAAATATAGGAGCCCCCCAAAAAGAGGTAGGTGGAGAATGTGAAATGACGGCTAGGAATCAAGAGAGTTTAGAGAATGGTCAAACTCTAAACTTAATTTCCAACCGTGAAGGTGGTCACTTTCTTCATTTATGTATTTGCTTAACAAATAGTGCCTTTTAAAGCTAAATAAAATTTAAGGTGACCAATTATAGTTAAGTTTGATTCTCTGGGGAATCTTCAACCTGTACTGTATATTCGTTCATCATTTTTGTCACCGATTAACTTGCTGTTTTCTCTTTTGTAAAGGAAACTTTTCAGTACACACTCTTCAGATGGGCCGAAGAGCTGGATGCGCTCAGTAGGACCCAAGACCTGCTTGGCTGCTATGAGCAAGCCCTGGAGCTGTTCCCTGATGATGAAGTGATTTGCAATAGCATGGGGGAGCATCTCTTCAGGTGTGTAGTGATTTCCGATGACTCCTTAAGACTTATTGTGCATCAGTCTGGACCAGGGATACATTGTAAAGTAATTTGAACTGGGGAAGTTTAGTATCAAGAATTATTAGTTATAACAGGATCAGAGCAATGAGGGGTTGGCTAGTAAGATGTAAACTCAGAAGAATATAGGAATAGCAGATATAATATGCAATAACAGAGCAGTTTTAGCATTGTATCATATAATGTGTGATAGCCACTGTCCTGGAGGTTGAGCTAGAGTCTCAAGAAGGAGTGCCCCCCACTAGGCTGAGGTCCAGGCCTTGTGGAAGAGGATATAACCGTGGTTTCACAGGATGGCAGAGAAGTCCTGTGTGCCTCGCCAGGGAACTTGTAAAGTTGTACTCTGGAACTTGCTGAAATCTGTCATTGGAATTTCTGTCTACTCTCCATAGAAACTTTATCATTAGGGAAACTGATAAAAACCAAAACTTTTTTGGATTTGTTTCAGTAAATCTGGTTTCTCTTCTCTGTACAAAGTAAAGGGGAAATTCTTGTCTAGGGAACACTGTTAATAATGCCCTGTGCTATCTATCTAGTAAGATCATTTTACAGGTTCCAGCTGTTGTCCTCTGGTGTTACTACTGCTCTGCTCGCCTGGACATGTTATGTTTTTTTCTGTGAAAAAGGCATAAGAAATATATATCTCTGTCAGCCTCAGTAATGTAACTACCTTATAGTTTAATAGTCTTCATCGAAATGGCCGGGGGAGTGAAATGAGTACTCTTTTAAGAGACACATATTTCATAGTTTCCAGTTGCAGAGCATGAGAGTTACTGGGAAAACAAGACAGACTGTCACCTGAAGCTTGTTTGTTCTCACTGACCACTAACCAGACCCTGACCCACGGAATCCATCTCTGCACATCAGCGGCCCCTCTCCGTTTAAATGAAATTCAGTTTAAAAATATTTTAAATTACCTCTTTAAATTAGTTAAAAATCCACATTTTAATTTTGACGTTTTCTTTAGTTTATGTAAGTAGAGTTACTTTATAGGACTCTGTTATATTTCCAGAGTTACAATTATATGTGTGTAACAATCAGAACATTTTAAGACTTACCACGTTTTAGAATAATTCAATTTAACAGAAAATTGGAGCTACACACACTTTTGGCAGATTGTACTTATTGGTGACCTGTTTTTGTAAGGCATCGAAACAGCATGACTGACTGACCACCAAAAGAATCACTGATCCAGGGGAAAAAGATTTCCCAAGTAAACGATAGCTTCCTTTCCTGACAGTTATTTGTGAAGTGAAATTTGTGTCTGGGGTGTCTTGTCTTTACATTATTGAGTTAGCCACTCATCAGATTTAAAAAAAATATTAAATCGCTAATCAGGAAGGTAATTTTTTTTTTGTTAAAAGAAAAAAGGCATTCTTATAGTGTGCTGATACTGACACACATGTTGAGTGTTTCCATATGAGATACACTTTGAGTGGATCATTTGTTTTTAGATTAGCATTGCAGCTTAACAAAACTGAATTATTATGGATCAAGCCTAAGGGAAGTGCAAATGGAGGAAATTATTAGATGTAGGCTTTGCATTGATTCAACATGTCACTGATATTTTGAAATTTTAAAATATTGCTCTGGTTTCAACAAATAATGATTATATACGATATATCTCGCATTGCATGTTATGGCAGTTGCAGAATAAGAATAAAACAGCTCTATTTTCAAGATAGTTAAAAATAACATGAGTGCCTATCATTTGACATAAGGCTTTTGCCTTTTGTTAGAGTGCAGTCCGTTTTTTTTTTTTGGCTTAAACCATATTCAATAAATAGTCTGATTCAGTTCCTTTAAAATTTGTGGAATGCTTCAGGGTGCCTTGTGAAGAAATCTGAGTGTAAATGGTTCTGCTAGCTCAGTTCTTTTCAGTGTGTGGAGCACACACTGGTGTTGATTTACAAATTACCAATCAATGACAGATAAATACAGAAATTGAGAGTAAATATTTAGAAATCTAAATAGGAGATTGACATTGCTGTAAATCCAAGCGTATGTTCAGGGAACTGACTTGTTGAAGAGAGTTTGGACTAGTTCGGGTGCTGCTGAAATCTGATGTGTGAGTTATATACCAATCACATGCAGTACAGCCATACTGGTCGACAAATGATTAGATGCTTCACAAGGGGCCCACTAGATACAGGCATTAGTAGGTTTTATAGAGAGAATGGTTTTTAGAAAGCACTGGTGTTCTGTTAGGTTGGTTAAATGAAGGACGACTTTGAGAGCTTCTGACATACTGTAGTACAATAGTAATTTTTAGTTAAGCACTTGTTAGTGTCCTGGGATGCATAAACATAATAGGGGTTCAGAAAAGAAAGAAGTGGTCAAGGATTGCGCTCTCACTGAAGGCTTCCCAAAGGAGGTGGTACTTGGGTCGAGTGGGACTGGGGTGCAGGTGAGGCACTCTCAGGCAAGATGAGTGGCACAAACCAAAGCACTGTAATTCATAGCATGTAGTTGAATGTCTTGTCTGGCCTTTTTTTACTCTAGGATGGGCTTCAGAGATGAAGCAGCCGGGTATTTCCATAAAGCAGTGAAGCTAAACCCTGATTTCAGTGATGCGAAGGAGAATTTCTATCGTGTTGCAAATTGGTTGGTGGAACGCTGGCACTTTATCATGCTTAATGACACCAAAAGGAATATGATTTATAATGCAGCAATCCAAAAGGCAGTTTGTTTGGGATCCAAAAGTGTTTTGGACATTGGAGCAGGAACTGGAATACTAAGGTTTGTTGTACTTGTGTTTTAATTACATATGCATGCATCCTAATGTAAATGAAAGATTTTTATCAAATATGGCATAATTAACTGGAATTTAAAACTAGAGATTAATTTATTTATCTTTTTTGAAGATTTTTTTTATTTTTAGAGAGAGGGGAAAGGAGGGAAATATTGATATGTGAGAGATACATCAATCAGTTGTCAGTTGGTTGCCTCTATCAGGCTCTCAACCAGGGACCTGGCCTGCAACCCAGGCATGTGCCCTGACTGGTGGTAGAACCAGCAACCTTTTGGTTCACCAGCCGGCACTCAATCCATTGAGCCACACCAGCTAGGGCATTTTTCTCATAGTCTTGTTTTGATTGTTTATGCAACTATTATTGTATTTTTTACTATAACTTTTACTTTATCAAGAAACTGAGCTTAACTACTAAGAAAAATTTGGGGTTATTATTGAAATTTTGAATAATGAATTTTAATAGCATTTTTTTTACATAAATATTCTGGTTTGAATCTAGTTATTTAAGTCCATTAGCATTCTTCATGCCAATTATGTCTTCTTAATCAGGTGAATGTCCTGATTTATTGTATGACTTTTACCTTGACAAGAATATTAGTTCATTTTTTCATATGGACTAAATAATGGTTGTGTTGAATAAAAGGAAAACCCCATGGCTAAGTATCGCAGTTCCACTAAGTTTGGGAGAATGCAGCGGACTGTGTTTTCTTGATGGAGCGCTCTTCCCCGTAGCATGTTTGCTAAGAGAGCGGGCGCGCACGCGGTGTACGCCTGTGAGCTGTCCCAGACCATGTACGAACTGGCCTGCGACGTCGTGGCCGCGAACAAGATGGCAGCAGGGATCACGCTCTTACACATGAAGTCGCTCGACATAGAAATTCCGAAACACATTCCCGAAAGGTAATATCATGTAAATTAACTTCGGTATTTATAATCCTATATTTAATTTTTTTAAGAAGTAAGATATTTCCACTTCTGGCTTCTAGTCTCACCAAAAATGCTAAAACCTTTATATTGTAAAGTTATGGAAATAGGGTAGTTTGGCATAAGATCAGTTTTCGAAGTAAGGCCATATTCTTGATAATATTTAAAGATCTTGAGAAAAATGTGTGGCAAGGGACTTAATAAATGAACTTGACCTTTAGCAAGTTACTTTACCTTTGTTAATTTTAGTGTTCTAGTCATAAAAATGAATACTATCTCCTGGGTGGTCAATAACTATTTGAAAATTCTGCAGTAAAATAATACATGAGTAAGTCAGCCTTGATACCCATGTTATAATTTGTGTTAATATCTTCAGCTAAATTGGACGTTTTGGGAGTTTCATCTCTCATTGGCTTGGGCCCTTTCAAATGCTTTGAATACAGTAAGTCCTAGCTTTTGATCCTGTCATGAGGATGATGGAATTTAGAGCTAGAAGGGATTTAAAGTCATCTGGTCCAGCATTCTCATTTTAGGTAGAGTTTTCTCTACCTAGCACTTGCTTTACTCCTCCTTCTGGGTGATCTCTCTTCTCATCTTATTTGAGTTTATATTGAAACAGGAGTTTATACTCCTGTCATTTGGACTATGATTTTTAAAAAGCCTTCTTTCATATGTGTATAATAATATTTATATTTATGTAATACTAAGCTTTTCAGTGGTCTGTCTCTACATTTGTTGTCATGAAATAGAAGTCCTAGTAGACTGTCGAAACATATTATACCTATTTAACAGAAATAAACAGTGTCCTGAATTGTCTTAGCCTGCAGACTACGTGGCTTAAACAACAGACACTTATTTCCTCATAGTTTGGGAAGCCAGAAGTCCATCATCAAGGGTGCTGGCAAATTCGGTTTCTAGCGAGAGTTCTTTTGCTGGCTTGCAGATGGCTGCCTTCCTGCTGTGTTCCCACACGGCCTCCTCTGTGCATGTGAGGAGAGCAAGAGGTCACTGGTGTCTCTTCCACTTGGACGAGAACACCAGTTCCATCAGTTGTCTCCACCTTTGTGATCTCAGTTGACCTCACTCACCTCCTGAAGACTCTCCAAATACAGTCACTTCGGGGGTTGGGACTTCAACATGGATTTTGGTGTTACACAATTTAGTCCATAGCATGAATCAAAGTTACTTTAACTTAATTTACCCTTTTCTCACAGATAGTGTGGAAGGATCTACTGACTTTGAATCAGGAGATACAGATTCCAGTACAGATTCAGTTTTTAATTTATCTTGACCTTGAGTAAATCTAGACACTTTAAAATGTTAGAATAGATGTTTGTGATACCTTCCACTTTGTAAATATATGCAAAGTGTTGAAAAATTTGTGTATAAATAGAATACGGGGGTTAGGCACAGTGAGGGATACCTAAGTTGTTTTTGTTCTCAAGGCAAGTACAGTCTAGATAGGAAGATAAGGAATGGTAATGGAACTCTTTTAATCTTCTAACTACACAAATGAATGATACAGTAAGTGCTAAAGAAGGTCAGAGAAGGGAGAAATCATTTTGGTGTGTCTCTGAGTGAAATGTTCTAGAAATAAAAAATGAACAGAGGAAAAGCTGGTAAAGCCAGAGAAGTCACAGGAGAGAGGCTAACCAATGTGTTAGTGGTAAAAACACAGGTAATGAAGGTAGAGAAGGATTTTGAGGGGCAGGACTTCTCACGTGCATTGGATGTTATTTGTGGATCAAAGAAAATGAAAACGGAGAAAAACTATTCATTTTGCTAAGTAGGAGAGTCATCAGTGATGCAGAATGTTTTTACAGAGTGTTAGGGGTAGAAGTCCAGTTAGTCAGCATTAAGGAGAAAGTCTGGGAAGATAAGGGGGATGAGCACTCTCAGGATTTAGGCCGTGAGAGAACAGTCTGAGCCGGCAGCAGGGTCCAGGGTAGGTTGTGGTCCCGCCCCCCTTGCCCGCCAGAAGTTGTCCGTGGCGCTCAGAGGAGCCTGAAGAACATTAGAGTCAATTTCTTCAAGATTCAAGAGAAGATATTAAAAATGAAATGTATTGGGGAATTTTATTTTACATATGGACTGTTCTTATAATATACTCTTCCTTTTTTCTCTCAGCTTTGACATCTTTACATAAATAGCATGATATTTTACTTACATATATCTTTAAAAAATCATTCTATAGAGTGTCCCTAGTTGTAACAGAAACTGTCGATGCAGGTTTATTTGGAGAAGGAATTGTGGAGAGTTTGATTCATGCGTGGGAGCATTTACTTTTGCAGCCAAAGGTAAGCAGCATGGAAATTCTTAAATTGGATTAAGAATTCATTATTTTAACAGATATTTATCCAGCCCATACTGGAAAGAAACCCATATATAAAACATTTAATAACAATGCATTGTGTACTTGTGTGTTCAAGTGGGGTATTCAGGCAAAAAATGCTGCAGGAAGGAATTCATGGGAATTGAGACTATGTAGTGGAGGGACTATTGGATTCTTGAGTAGGGTTGGAAAGGTGAGTACTTTCAGTCTCACAGTCCTCCCTGCGGATTATCAAGAGTGTATAGTGATAGCCATCCTGGTATTTTTTTTTATTGATTTGAGAGAGGGTCGGGGGAGGGAGGGAGGGAGGGAGGGAGAGAGAGACAGATTGATTGGTTGTTCCACCCATTTCTGCATTCACTGGTTGATTCTTGTATGTGCCCTGACCGGGGATCAAACCTGCAACCTTGGCACACAGTGCTCTAACTGACTGAGCTACCTGGTCAGGATTGACTTGGTATGGTTTTAAGGTACTAGTTGAACCCAGGCTGCTAATTGGACCAAATTAACTTTTTTTTTTAAAAGATTTTATTTATTTATTTTTAGAGAGGGAAGGGAGGGAGATAGAGAGAGAGAGAGAGAGAAACATCAATGTGCGGTTGCTGGGGGTTATGGCCTGCAACCCAGGAATGTACCCTGGCTGGGAATCGAACCTGGGACACCTTGGTTCCCAGCCTGCGCTCAATCCACTGAGCTACGCCAGCCAGGGCTCGAATTAACTTTTATAATTACCAAATTACATTTTACATTAAAGTCCTTTACTGTAGCCCACAAATTGTGGATTTGGTTTATATAATACATATTATGAATGAAATGATTTTAACATGTGATGAGAATTCACTGCTTACAGAAAGTGATTTGGATTTAAAATAGCTAATTAAAGGTTGAAAAGAAGAGCAGTTTGTTTTTCAAGTAGGTGATAGTGATTTTGGCTTTTCAATGAGTTATATCCAAAAGTTTTTTGCTTTAATCATACTTATAACCTTGTAACTCGCCCCTTCCCCTTTCTCCTTCCTTTCCTATTTGTACTGTTAAAAAAATTTATATATACACAATATATAAATGCATACATAAGGCAAATAAAAATAAAAGAAAAATTTTAAAGAAAAACAACCTACTTATCCTTACCTATTGTTTTTTAAGTTTTTTCTTATTTTTATAGCTTGTCATCTTACATAGGTATTTTTGCATACATGTAGCTGAATCTAATTTTTACTGTTATATTTTTAGACCAAAGGTGAAAATGGTAATTGTGAAAAGTATGGGAAAGTTATACCAGCAAGTGCTGTCGTATTTGGCATGGCAGTAGAATGTGCAGAGATAAGAAGACATCATAGGTAAGTGATTATTTATACAGCAAATATTGAAAAATTATAATTTTAAGGAGTAGACTATACCTTAAAGGTTATTTAATGAATATTTATTTGGAAGAAAATTTGTAGTTTTCTGACCTTTAAATTCATAATGTTTATTCTGGTCTTAATTTTCTTTTTGAATTTGTTAAAGCTTAAGGATTCTAGGATTAAAACCAGCTCTCAATTTTCTAGTGGAAAATTAATTTTGATAAACTTAGTATCCTGTTATGTGATAGATTCTTATAGGAATATACTAAGTTCATTGATTTTAGATGAAAGTAAAGTAAAAATTTTCAATATGAAAAGAATTTTAGTTTTATTTGTCTCATTTCTTCTCAGTAACTTTATTAGTATTATAATGTTCTGTGGTTGAGGAGAATGAAATTGTAGGATCTTTCTAACCTTGAGTTGCTGAGATTTACTTATTAAACAATTTTTTTTAGTTATAGAAGCTTATTGGTTACATTTTTTGTGAACATTAGTGAATATTTTGTTTTGCTAAAATAATTGATCCAGATTTTGTTAGAACTTTTTAAGGAGGCCCCCCTCCCGATAAGTTAGTAGTGCTAAATGTAACATACAAATATTTTAGGAAGCACTGATGAGTAAAAGAGTAAAATAAAAATCATCCTGAAAACTATTATAGGTGAGTACTATTCATCTTTGCTACATTTTCTTCCGTATACTTTTCTATGCCTGTTGCAAGGTGAGAGGCAAAAATGTGTAGGGAATGGGTAGGGCACAGTGCACTGGCCAGACAGGCAGTGGCCTGAGCACACTGGCTGAGTCAGAGTGCGCTGGTTAAGTATCATCTCTGTGTAAGTAAATGTGTGTGTGTATAAATTAAATTTTATTTCAGAAGTATCAGTAAATACGTTTGTTTTTCCTTTGTGAACCTCTTCATGTTAATAGATTTGTTTCATGTATTTTTAAAATCAGTTTCTAGTGTAGTTCTCAGAGTTTACAATTTTAGGGTTGGTTTTCACTTTTCTCCACTTAAGGACAGTGGTAAATATCTTTGTACTTAGTCCATGTGGACCTGTGTTTAGTATTTTCTTGGGATAACTTCCTTAATAATAAAACTACTCAGTTGAAGGGTATGTACATTTTTCTGGCTATACAGACACATTGCTGAATTGTCCATCAGAAAAGCTAGGGTGTATCTTCCTGAGATTTCTTGCTATAATGAAATTTTGGATCCCCCCGACCCTCGCCCAAGAGTCGCCATTATTCTGACGTGTAACACCATTGATTATTTTTTTTGTTTTGAATTTCATACAGATGGAATCATCCAGTATTTTTCATGTGCTTTTCTTTTGTCCTTTGTCCAACACATCATGTTCTGGATGCCGTGTACAGTATGCCATTGTATGAACACACCACAGTGCATTTGTCCATTTTACTGTGGATGGACATGTAGGTTATGTTCAGTTTTGGGGGGCACCAGAAATAACAGTACAGCTATAAACATCCTTTAACATTCTTGTGATCGTGTGTATGAATTTTTGTGGGCCATATTCCTAAGGGTAGAAATGTCAGACACCTTCAGGTTTCAATACTGATATGTTCAGCTTGAATAGATACTATGAAAGTCTCCCAAAGTAGTCTTATTAATTTTATATTGGTACCAGTAGTGTATGAGACTGTATTCTCACCAATACTTTGTATTGACTGTTTATTTCCCCCCTTTTGGTGGTTGTGTAGTGTGGTTTTAACTTTATTTCCCTGATGGCTAATGAAGCTGAACAAGTTTTCATATGCTTTTTGCCATTTGGATTTGCTCTTTTGTGAAGTGTCTTAAGTCTCTTGCTCCTTTTTCTTTTACTTTTATTAATTTTCAGGAATTCAAAAGTATATTCTATATATGAGTCCTTTGTTGAACAGATGTGCCACCAGTATTTTCTACTCAGCACCTTGCCTTTTTTCTCACCAGGGTGGGCGTGAAGGACATTGCTGGGATCTCCTTGCCCGCAAGTGTGAAATTTCAGAGTCCAGCTCATTCTTCCACAGATTCCGAAGAGACAAGTGAACCTTATACAACTGAAAAGATGAGTCGAGTTCCTGGAGGGTATTCGGCTTTGACAGAGTGCTTTGAAATTATGACAGTAGATTTCAACAATCTTCAGGTAAAAAAAAAGTTCAGGTTAAAAAAAATGTTTTTGAGCATTAAACTTCATCTGTTGTTTAAAATAATACATAGAACAGTCTTACGAGTTTGCATGGATTCCACATACTATATGTAGAGAAAATGATTAAACAGTAATTAGAATTCCCTCCTGAAACTATTCACTTTAAATGCAGAAGAAGGAATCCTTATGGTTTTTTGGGAATGTGTGACCTGCCAGGTGTTTCACAGGTGTTCTTAGGTCCCTCTGAAACCCGCACTGCAGTGTAGTTTTACCTGTCCATGCGCTGTGCTGGTGAAGGAACGGGGCTTATATCAGTCTCCCCTGGTTGCACGGCGTGTGAATGCAGGGCAGGAGTTCCAGCCCAGATGTTTCCGACTTTCCTTAGTGTCATGCTGTCCTTTCAGTTGCTGGGTAATTCCCTGAAATGAGTAGTGATCCATATCTCGGCGTTGTATGATTGTTAGGGGGACCAACTGTCCCAGTTTGCCCAGGACTGAGAGGTTCCTGAGATGGGGGCAGTCTTGGGCAAGCCAGGACAAGTGGGTCACTTAGTGTCTCTGTGGGTGTTGCTGAGTGGAGGAAGGGAGTGAGGGATGAAGAAGAGTGCCCAAAGGAATCAAGAAAAGTTGCATGCAGCCCTTCTCTAAGCTCTGTAAGTAAGGCTACCTGTTCAAGGACGTAAGGTTTTAGATGAAGCCCACCTGGGGCAGAAGCCTTCTGAGGGTCATTTCCGCCTAAGATTTTTATAATTTAACAAAAGGCTTCCCCCATTAATTGTTACTGTCTTTCCCTTGACATGGCGTGGAGCTAAATGAATGCTTTGGCATTGCTTAGTAAGGTGGAGCTTCAGGAACCCTTCTTTTCTGATAGCACATTCCAGTAGAGAACAACGTGATTACAGCTGCGAAGTACCCCGAAGCGATCCTTTTCTTAGTTTAAGCAGCTTTTCTGATTTTAATTTTTCTTTGCCACAATAAAAAAAATACCTCTTATTAAGGCTTTAATTTCAAAAGTAATATCTGCCTGTTTAATACGTTCAAGAATACAGAAAAGAGGAAAGGAAAAATGAAAGAGTGTCTGTCTTTTTAAATCTAGGCCCTTTTTCCAGGTCACCAGTTTCAGGTGCATCACTTCAGATTTGCTTTTCTATTCTACACACACACACACACACACACACACACACACACACACACTTTTTAAAAAAACAAAACATACTTGAACAACAATTACAATTAAAAAAATGTTAAAAAAATAAAGGACCCATGGACAAAGACAGTGGGGAGGGGGGATTGAATGTGGGAGGTAGAGGAGGGTAGGGTAGGGGAGAGTAATGGGGTGAAAATGGGGACAACTGTAATTGCACAATAAAAAAAAGAAATGAAACAATTAAAAAAAAATTTAAAAAACCCTATTTTGCCATTCACTGCCTTCATTAACAATACAAGATGGGGCAAAAGGAGGCTTACAGTTGTTAAAATGGAAAATAATACAATAATTAATAATACAGGAAAAAACTGTGTGTTTCGTGTCCTCACATGTGTAAACCGACTCTTCCCCCACCCCATGTATCATGGACTTCTTTAGAACCATGTCAGTACTGTGTATCTGCTTCCTTTTTTTTAATAGCTGCGTGGCATGCTGTCACGACCTCTCACAGCTTCCCACCCAGGGTGCCTTAAGTGGCCATAGGTGTGCCAAGATATTGACCCCCTAGGGGCACTGGCAAGACTGAGAACCTGAAGAAATGGAAAGTGATACACTTCTGGGGCATGTACATATTAAATGTATAACGTCCTTTTACATTTCTATAGGAATTAAAAAGTCTTGCAACTAGGAAACCCAATAAAATTGGTGTTCCTGTTATTAAAGAAGGCATACTAGATGCTGTCGTGGTTTGGTTTGTACTGCAGCTTGATGACGAGCACAGTTTATGCACAAGTCCGAGTGAGGAAACCTGTTGGGAACAGGCCGTCTACCCTGTACAGGACCTCGCAGGTATTATCTTGTGTAATGATGTTGTTTTCCTAAATTTGTTGCTTTAACCCTTTAAACACTTGAGTCATTGTCAAAAATGTGCTTTGAATATGAAGTTTCTAGTCAAGGGAGACTGATTTTTGAGAATTTTCTTTTTCTATATTAGAAGCAGCTTTAAATAATATATGTAGTTGAGAAAAGAGTCTAAAACACAACTCCGCTGCCACTCAAAAGGATCTATCATTAAATCATTTCTTCAGCTCCAATGACTCGAGTTACCCATAGCTAAGAGAACTGCTGGTGCATTTTTAATGGAACACAGTGGAAAATAGTACTTGCCATGCAGCAGTCCGTACCGCTTACAGAATCTGACAGCGCTGTGGAGCTCAGGCCATGGACATATATGCTCATATAAGTGCAAGGTTTTGCAGTTTTAGAGAGTCCATAAATCCATGGACTTCTCCGGGGAAGTTCTGTGTTGTAGGTATTTTTTTTGTATAGAGTATTTTTTCTTTACCAGCGATTTGATGCGTTCCAGTACATTTCACAGCAGTTATATTGCACAGAAAAATTCTGCCTTTTTTAAAGGGCTGTTTCTCTTTGTCCACATCAAGGCTCTAACTGGGCACAGTCACTGAGTTGCGGGTTCAGTGCAGCAGCTTGGCCGGCACGGTGTTCTGGAGTCCGTCAGGTGGCCTGGATTCGGGTCCCTGGCTGGCCTGGCTGGTTCCTCCAGAGCTTTCGTTTTGTGCTGCGGGAGAGTGGGGCGATGCTGCCTGCCTTGCAGAACTGTAGTCAGGGCTCTTAGAGATAATGGATGTAAAGTGCTACGGTGACGACAGGCACTTACCAAGTGATAGTTCCTATTTGTGTTGATTTATTCTAAGCCTCTTCCAGTAATAACAGATAGCCTTTTTTTTTTAATCTTTAGGGAAAGGACATTTTAAATGCTTAAACATAAGAATAACAACTCGTATTTTCAACTGACTTTAGCACTCATAAAGGATTGTGATCGTACATTCACATTTTAAAGTTTTATCAAGTGAGAAAGCTAATGAAAGAGAGCATGGTAGAGTCTATGGTAGGACTTAGTCTTGCCTTACATTTTCAGATTCCTAAATATAAGGTTCTTTTGACTACTTCTTTGCTCTTGTAGAAATTACTGTTACAGAAGAGAATAATGTCCCTTTAAACTAAAGCGAGGTTTGGTATTAATCCCTGAATTTCATCTCTCATTATTATCGTTGGCTTCATTACCAAAAAGAAGATTGAGAGTTCCCTGTGGCCCTTCCTCCAGCCCACAATCTGGGGACACGAACGGATACCTAATAATTATAGCAAAGGCACTAAATACTGATAGTTAGGGTCCAAAATGTAGCTCTTGAATCTCTGTACAAGGCTGTTAACTGAATCTTCAAACTTCAGATTTTCCCTATGTAAAGCTGGAGAGATTTTCCTAGCTTTTTTTTTGTGGGAAATGAATACATTGATTTGCTTAATTCTAATAAATTAATGGATATAATGCTCCCTGTCGTAATTTTAAAAATGGTGAGGGGTGGTGGAATGGGAGGACCAATGTGTTTATGTGATCATAAGGCTTATATAAACACTAGTATTCATCAACTCTAACTTTTTTCCTCCTTTTTTTATGAAGACTACTGTGTAAGGCCTGGGGACCATGTGATGATGGAAGTGTCCTGTCAGGACTGTTACTTAAGAATCCAGAGTGTCAGTGTCTTCAGTTCGGAACCTGAAATGGATGTCGGAAAAAGTTTCACCAAGAATGAAGACTTGCTCTCTCTAGGAAACGAGGCTGAACTCTGTAGTGCCCTGGCTAACCTGCAGACCAGCAAACCAGATGCCGTGGAGCAGACATGTGTTTTGGAGTCCACGGAAATCGCTCTGCTTAACAACGTCCCATACCACGAAGCCTTTAAGCTGGCCATGAGCCGAGTGCTGTCTTCCCTGAGCCCCGAGAGGCCGGGCCAGGCCGTGGAGGCTCACTGCCAGGACAGTGAGATGAGCTGCGGGGGCGGGCAGGGCGATTCCGAACCCGGTGCCGCGGAGCCTTTCTACGTGCTAGACGTGTCCGAGGGCTTCTCCGTCCTGCCCATCATCGCGGGCGCCCTCGGGCGGGTGAAGCCTTACAGTTCGGTGGAGAAGGACCAGCATCGTGTCACTCTGGACCTCATATCCGAAGCCAATCACTTTCCTAAAGAAACACTTGAGTTCTGGCTGAGACATGTGGAAGACGAATCTGCCGTGTTGCAAAGGCCAAAATCGGACAAGTTGTGGAGTATAATCATACTGGATGTCATTGAGCCATCTGGGCTCATTCAGCAGGAAATAATGGAGAAGGCTGCGATATCCAGGTAAAACCAAAAAACGTAACTGTTGGTTTTCGTGAGTCATGATCTTGTGTGTTCCTGTGCTTGTCGTTACTGATGTTTTCCCCCAAAGGGCCCTCTGCTCTGTAGATATGAAGAGGAGAGTCTGCTTTGGGATTGGCTGCCTCTGTACAAGATGGACATAAGTAGGGATCTGTAAAAATAGAAGATGTTCAGGGCGACTAAGGAAAAATCAAATTTCAGCTTGCCGATTTCATAGAATGGTACCCTTTTGTCGCTATTTGGGATTAAAATTTTCTCTGGTTTGGTAAAGGTATTGATAAGAGTTTAGGTAAGAGCTATATGTATATATGTGTGTGTATACATATATTTTTTTAAAGAACTGTATAATTTTGTTAAGTTGTAATTTTACCAATTATGGAGATTCAGTTTCTACCAGACTTCACCTAAAATGTTACAAGTTAACAGAAAAAGAATAACACAAAGGAGTAAAGCATTAGTGTCGGGGTGGAGTCCATTTTTAGGCTAGTGTGTGCAGAGGACTTACTACAGTTACATGATGGTGTACTTATGTTAGGGACGAAAGGTTTTCCTGCTTTGGGAGCATGGCTTGTTCCGATCGGTCTGCTGCTGCTGCAGTTCCGAATCACCTCTGACTTTCCTTGCTCCTTCTGTGCCCGTCAGGGGGCCTGGTTGTGGGTTGGCTTTCTGTGACAAGGGAAAGCCATTACAAGAGCAGCCTGTGTACCTGTTGTCAACTTCTCCATCAGCTTTTTATTTGGAAAAGTTTCAAAATTCCAAGTTTAAGAAAAACAAAGGTAGTAGCAGTGAACACTGGACAACTATTTTGTTTGCTGAGTCATTTGATAGTTGTTAGCTTATCTTGGGCCCTTATTTTAACAATTAGCGTGTGCTCCTTAGAACAAAGGCTTTCCTCTACACAACACAAAATGATCACACTTGAGAAACTTAGCATTGATAAAATCTATTATTTAATAGATAGTGTGTATTAAAATTTCCCCTGCTGTCCCAGGAATATGTTCTTTACTGCTTTTTCTCACCCATCTGGAACCAGCTTGGACTACTGAGTAAAATTGAGGGATTTAAGGTTTGACTGAAAATGTGTCAAATGAAAATGATCATTTGGTTTCAAGTACCTTGAAGTGCCCTCCACCCTCTTGCATCTGCCGCAGTTTTCAGGGGTGGGGAGCAGACTGGGTGTGCGCGTGTGGGGCTGCCTGGGCTCGAGAGCCCTAAACTGCACCCAGGAAGGAGGACCTGCCACGGGCACCACTTCGCATTTCCAGGGAGGCCCACAGGCAGCGTGGCTTCTTGCCATTGGGCATTTCCAGTGTGTGTTCACAGTTCTCTCAGTCCAGATGCAGTCTCCCTACTAATATTTTTAAAAAATTTTTTATCATAGCAGTGTTGCTGATAACACAGCTAACTTTCAACCTATGGGATTTCCAGGGAAACAGAAGATGAAACCTAAGATAATTTTGGAGATAGGATTTTCCTAACCCTTTACTCACTAATGTATCACGATTTAGTGGTTGGTATTGATAAAACGTAGGGCATAATGATGCTTTTTAAAACACTTTTCCTTCTCTAGGTGTTTGCTGCAGTCGGGAGGTAAGATCTTTCCTCAGTATGTGCTGATGTTTGGGTTGCTTGTGGAATCCCAGACACTGGTGGAAGAGAATGCTGTTCAAGGGGCGTCACGAACTCTCGGATTAAACATAGCGCCGTTTATTAACCAGTTTCAGGTACGCGTCTAAAAGAGAAACTCAGCCAGGTGGCTGTTACCCAGTCTACCTTCTCTCTCTCTGTGGTTTTACATAGTCATTGTGCTTAGCTGGATGAGGATGGTAGTCTGTTTCTTACAGCAAAGGTACTTGTTGTGGATAAAAATTACCTAGGGACGGTCAGATGCCTTCAAGGATGTCCAGGGAGAGGCTGATGTATCTGTGTCCTCTGTTCATCATGAACAATTCTCAAACATTTCATTCAGACAGGAGGGCGCTTTTTAAACGCTTTCCTCTCATTTCAAATGAGGAGGCTGAAGTGACGGGACACTTTATGGCAGTGGGTTCTCCACCTCGACTGTCTTGTCCTGTGCCCCGTAATGTTATCAGTCGCAAAGTTCCACGTGTCCAACGGTGGTCCCATAAGATTGTCATGGAGCTGAAAAATTCCTGTTGCCTGGTGACATCATAGACAAGGTGATGTCATAGAGCCACGCATTCCTCTCGTGTTTGTGATGATATGTGTATAAAAGCTACGGTGCTGCCAGTCGTTGAAAGCCTGGTATATTACCACTACAGTAGTGGGCTGCACCACCTAGGTTGTGTAAGGCTCTCTGTGACGTCGGCACAACAAAGCCAAGTGATGACTCGTTTCTCAGAACATACGCCCTGGTTAAGCACATGGCTGTACTTCCAGACCTACTGATAACTGGATCCCAGCTCCAGATCACTGATGTGCGGCCTGAACAGCCAGACTTTTTACAATGTCCCTAGGCTATTTTAATTTGTAGCCCAAGTTGAGAATCACTGCGTTATATTTTTCAAACAAAATCCACTGTTAAGTTGTTTGGCTGAATTTGGCATATATTCTCAATTTAATAATTAATGTAAGACTATTTATTTCATCTTTCACACATAAGCTCATCCTTGGTTTCAAATTTTTGAGCTGTTTGGGTTAACTAAAAATTTAATCTGCTTTCATAAAAGCAAAGAATCTGAGGATAACTGAAATCGTGATTTAAACAAATGACTTAACCTGTGTAAAACCTTAGTTTGTTTAGTCTTCCCGTAAAACTGGAATCATGAAACTCCTTATTCCTTAGAATGGATGTAGGAATTGAGTTAAATGAGGAGGTAAAAAGCATTGCATCATACTGAGCCAAGTACAGAGCAATCAGTTGGTGAGCTTCGGTCATAAAAGGCATTGAGTAAAAGTGAAAACCGTGTACTTTCTTTAGGTACCTATACGTGCATTTTTGGACCTCTCCTCGTTGCCCTGTGTACCTTTAAGTAAGCCGGTGGAACTCCTGAGACTGGATTTAATGACTCCCTATTTGAACACCTCTAACAGACAAGTGAAGGTAATGTAACATCACTCCTCTTGTTACATTCAGAATAATTATCTTAAACTAGGTAGTACTTTATGTACATAAACTTGGTTTAGCCACTGTCTTTGAGAATTTAAATGTCATTTCTTTTTTGAACAATATCAAAAAATGGGCTTGAATAAGTAAATATTAGTGAATAAAATAAGTTGCTATTAATTGAATTGGGTAATTAAATATATTTCTTTATGAAATTTGGATCTAAAATTGACCAAAAAGAGAAAGACTGACTCATTTGTTCCGATGAAATTTTCAATTTCTTAATTTTCCTAGGTACACATTTGTAAATCTGGTCAAGTGACTGCCATTCCATTCTGGTATCAGATGTACCTTGACGACAACATTCGACTGGATACCTCCAGTGAGGTCTCCCACTGGAAACAAGCTGCAGTTGTTCTGGATCCCCCCATCCAGGTGCAGACGGGGGAGGAGCTCATGCTCCAGGTCCAGCACCACAAAAGCAACGTCAGCATCACAGTGCAGCGCTGAGGAGCAGTTTCCTGATGAGAAACTAAGCAGAGCGAGTGCCCCGTTTTCCTGGTCGGAGGAGTGCAACTGGCGTCATAAAGTTGGGGGGTGGTAAAGAATTAATTCCTTGTATTGATCAACTAGTTTTAAAAACGGACCTTAATAAAGTGTATTTAAAAGATGCTAAATTATCAAGTAGCATTATTACAAAAATGTTTGCTGCAGACTTCCTTTCTGAAAAAGGCGGTCATTAGTTTTTCACATTAGGAAACTGTCTTTATTGCTTAGTTTTATATTCACTATAGATTAAATTGTACTAAACAATTTTGTCTACATGCTAAAGCTATAAAGTATTTTGAGTCATCTTCATTGTCCTGGGTCAGTAAGAAAGCACTTTTAATTTTTAGGTGTCTTGGCATTTTTCCTTAAATCCAAACTTATAATTGGAAACATCTAAAAGTTGCTTACCTGTAAATTACAGGTTTGCTGCTTTTAAATACTGGTGTACTTCTGAAATACCTTCTCAGGTTTTGTGTTTTAGGAATAAGCTATAAGCTAAGTGTAATTAAGTTAGGAAAAAACTAAAATCTTGAGGCTGCAATTTTCCTGGTCTACTCTGGCAAAGAAAAATGAAAAAGTTGATAAATTCAAGAAAGAATTAAGCCTAAACTAGTCCTGGCTGGTGTGGCTCATTCAATTGAGTGCCAGCCTGGGAACCAAAGGGTTGTCAGTTCAATTCCCAGTCAGGGCACATGCCTGGGCCGTGGGCCAGGTCCCCGCCCCCCACCCCCCATAGTGGGCGCACCAGAGGAAACCATGCATTGATGTTTTTCTCCCTTTCTTTCTCCCTGTTCCCATCTGAAAATTTAAAAAATCTTTAATTAAAAAAATCCACCTAAAACCAGTATTTTTCAGTTTTGATTTGGATGCACAAGAAGAAATATATAATAATTGGTCCAGTTTTTTAAGACTTGAATTAGATTAATAAATCATGTTTTATATATACTATATGTTCTTTTTAAGCCACAGATAGAATAAGATGTACCTTCTTTCTACAATCCCTATTCTCCTTATTTCTAATATTATACTACCCACCTTTACTTTCAATAAAATGTTTGAATAGTGGACATAGTAAAGTCTACTACGAACTAGTCATATATGTGAGTGTGTGTGTATAAGTATGTAAAGCAAGAGTTTTGAGAATACTTATTGTTGCCATTTGCAACATACTACTCTGGCACTTTTCTATATCTTTATTTCAGTATAAAGTGTTAAGTGTGACCCAGTGGGTTGTAAGAAACGCCATGCTAGGTTAATTTCTCCCAGAAAGCACGTATAGGTCTTCTGACTGGTTTCTGGATTTACATTTGCTGACACCTTTAATAGCACTGAGGAAAAGTAGACTCTTCTATTTCCCAGTTTTTCTTTTCATCTCAAAGTCATGAATAACTCATTAATCTATTAGCAATACTGAAAATGATTTTTAGATAGTTTTAAGATTACTAAGATTAGGTCCAAGATGCTTATTCTAATATGAATATGAGATATGTATCTTTCATTGTAGATACTTAATTTTTAACCCTTAATTTTTTGGACTTATTTTAGGCTATGTCTTTCTAATCAAAAACTTTTTGTTTCAAACAGTAGTGTTTTATGTTTAAAGATGAGACACAAAGTTGCAGAAAATGATAAATTCTTATTTATTGAAAGACATCTAATTGTGAAGTAGAGAAATAATTGTTAGCATATATGGCACATGATTATAATTACGTTCCACTAATTCATATTTTTGCATCATACTTTCTGCTAACTCCAGAGCATCATATTCATGCAGCTGTGGTAGTAGGAAGCGTTGATTTTTTTTTTATGCCCATTCTCTTGATAAAATAACATCAGGAACATTTAATACAGTGTCATTTTCTACCATTTCAGTGTGTGATACTCTAATGTTAAGAAATCAAGTTGAAGTCTAGGATATTTAGACTGATTACTTGATATACAAAATTTAGTGATATAAATCCAGCAGTACCTGGCTTTCACCTATTTTTGTGTTGAAGTTTCCCGTCACTTATGGCTTGTCCCAAGCACAAAATCCTGAGCAATGTGATACCATGTGCTGAAGAACACGGCAGTAGTGTAGTTTGCTTTCCCACACTGTTCAGGAGACCACGGGTTTGTCTGAAGGTCCTCGTTCTTCTGCAGTGTCACATATGTCCTCAGACATGTCAGCTATGGGTGTAGTCTGGGGGGTCAAAGTGTGTCCAAAGCCTTGGTAGAGACCCGCAGGGGAAGGCGGCACAGAAGAGGCAACAGAAATTGCATCTTGTGATGATGATGATAACAAGCTTGTATGTTCGTTTTGATCTTGGTCCTCAGGAAAAAATTTTTTCCTAGAATGTCCCATGACTGTCCTTCCTTTAAAATAATATAAAGGTTTTGCAAGTTAGCCAAAAATTAAGTAATCATAGTTTACCACTACAAATTTACTAAAAGTAAGCTCCCCTCCCGCCACCCTATTCGAAGAGCCTTATTGCGGTATGTGCTTTAAACAGAGTCGTTTCATCTCAAATAGCTACTAAATTACCTTTAATAAAAGCACCTATTTGGATGAACCGAATGGCTGGTACTTACCAACATGCCTTACTTGTTCTGAAATATCATCCCTAATGTCTGAAACATCCCACATAGCGAGAAAGGAATCAAAGCACGAGCCCTCTTCTGCTTCTTGGACATACGGTCTATACGAGAAAGTGTAGTGATGGGCAATAGCAGCGAGGAACATCTCGACACAGATAATGAAGTCCTGCAAGAGAAATGTCAGCCACCTTGGAGTTTACATCTAGTTTTGTAGGTAAAGGAAAAACACTCTTCCTCTTCAAAAGTGCATGCCAATAGCTGTTTTTCCTCCTGTAAGATATTTTATCCATTTTCCAAAATAATTTTTTACCTCAAAAAAAAAAAATCCATATCCATTTTGCACTATAAGTATTTCCTAGCAAAGTACACTGAATGCTCAATCCACTGTTCAGGGACTAAGAGCTAAAGTGCAGAAAGATAAATTGACTAGGAATAACAAAATCTAGGTTGTATTCCTGGCTCTACAAATTAGTAATTAATAGCCTCACTTTACAAATGAAATGGGAGAGCCCTAGAGAAGTTGGCTAAAGGTAGCCTGCACGTTGTCAGGTTTAAGAGAGAACCCACAATATAACAATGCTTAACAAAAGTTCCACTGAACTCAGAAACAGCACTACTTACTTGGAGTCCTGTAGCCACAGCTTCCACAGTCTTCCATTCCCATGTGTGCTTTTCAGAAATAACGCCAACTTTTACCAACAAAGCAATAACTACTGCTTGCCTATATGTTAGGAAAAGGTAAACGCCAAATCTATATCAAGCATAAAATGAGCAGCTGTTTTACAAATATTCCACTTAAAAAAGTTAAACCCCAGCACACCCCGTGGACCACGACGCTCATCGCCACCTCCACGGCCACCACCACCACCACCACAGTGCACGGCTCCTTCACAGCACATTCCCAAAGACACTGTGTGTCTACATGAAATTGACTTACTTCCTTTACAAAGTTACTCTTCCAGGACAGTTTCATCACATGAGTTTTGATTATGTATTCTTAGAACTTTAGTACTTGGTTTATACTTTTTTTTTTTTTTGAGAGGGTAAGGAGAGGGAGAGAAACATCCACCGGTTGCCTTCCCCATGCGCTCCTGACCAGGAATCAAGTCTGCAACCCAGGCATGTGCCCCGACTGGGAATCAAACCGAGAACTTTCAGTTTATAGGACCAGTGGAACCACATTGGCCAGGGCTATACGTCAAATTTTTGTTTTCAAAGTGTGCACAAGGAATTATATATAGTTCTTATATATAGGTAATGCCTAATACTCCACAACAGGCATTTAAAATGAAAGGGTAGATACTGAAATGTTGTTTACATGTGTTAAATATTTAGATTATTAAAAAAAATGTTTTGAAACCAGTCTTGTTTGAAGTACTGGAACTAGAGACTAGGGATATGAACCTAGGTCAAATTTAATCAGCTAACAATAAGATGATTAGATAAGCTTTCATAGTTTCATAGACAACACTATTCACTTTAATATTGCTTGTAATGGTGGAAGAAATTAGGAACAGCCTAAATGTCAACAGGAGAGTAGTTAAAAATTACATTTACACAACAGAATACTAAGCAAAACCAAAAAATACCTAAACTACAAAGTTATATCTCATTTTACTGACAAAGAATTATATCCACAATATACTGAACACATTAAGTTCTGTAAGTTTTTATAGTATGAAACTTATTTCTGCAGAGTTTTATAACAATCATTCTAGGTGGTGGCATTAAGGACTTGCCACTTTTTATTTGTACGTTGTTAAATTTGATCTATTTGTTTCTAGGCCCCTGTCACCCACCCTGTTGAGACGTTTAGGTTGTCTCAAATTATTTTCTTCCTATAAATATTATGTGGGCATGTGATTATTTCTTTATAAAGAGCCAAGAAGGGCTAAAAGGATGAACTTTTGAAAAGGTTAAGTAGAGACATTTTAATTCACCTTCTGCATTAAAAGAATTTTAAAAATCTTCCCTAGTTAACAGTTTTATTGTCCTTTAGAAAATGAGAATATTAAGATGAAACAACACTTACCAAAAAGAAACGAAAACCACTAACTTTACACAGAGGAATTTGCCAACAGGCTGGATTGGACTCAGTTCTTCCTTCAGGACTTTATAAAACAGCAACAGACAGTACATGGCAAACTAGAAACAATCAAGATAAACAATTAAACTTCTTTGATAAGAATAACTAAATATAGTAGTAGAAACACTGAAGTTATAAAGCAGAGACCTAGTATAGAGTAATGTTGTCAGTAGTAATGTTTCAGGCCAAATTTTCTAGGCTGTATTACGTATTTTTAGATTAATAAGCTTTTATAGTTTACCATGGATGAATATGTACATATACGAAACTTCTCAGAGGAGATGTGTGGCCTGTGCCCTGATGATGGTTTTAGGTGCTCACTCACTGGGGCCCATGAACAACAAAGTGACGACCATGCCTGACGAAAAGGCTTCCACGCATGTGCAGCTACCTTCATATTCGCCCAAATAAAAACACTATTTACTTAGTAATGGCTTTTGTTTAAAATGGCCGTTATTTTATAAG